TAAATAAAAGTGTTTTAAATATTTTTAAAGAGCTAAAAGAATAAAAAAAATTCCAGATAGAACGAAAGTGTTCAAGTGACTCTGTGAAAAAATTCTTTTTCTTTTTATATTAAAAAAATAAAAAGTTTGGCATTTCCATATCCCTTTCCCTTATTTTGGCCTTATTATATGTCTAATAAAGTTGAGGGGAAAAAAGGATTGTATGTAATTGTTTCTCATTACTTCATACATACCTATTTGCACAAGTTGGTTTGGGGAGATGGAAAAACTGTTGAAGTTTTGCCTAAGATACAGTGTAGTTTGACTTATATGTATTTTGTTTCAAAAAAAAGGTCGAGGTCAAATCAGCTGAATTTCTTGTTGCCACTTATTTCTGTGATTTAAGCTCTAAACGTATTTTCCAGACTAATCATAGTTTGACCCAGAAAGACCTAAACTTTGGCAGAAACCTTGTTCCAGATCCCTGTATTGTAGCCTTACAGAAGCCCCGTAGTAAACTTTCCTTTTTTGCTCTTTGACAAGTACTCCATGTCCTACCTTGAGTTTTACTGTCCAGAGCCCTGAATTCTTCTATATGAGATATAACTTTATTTTTGTTTGCCTTTTTTTTAGTCAGTGTTTATGCAGAATTATTAATAGGAGGAAAGTAACACTTTGAGGAAGGAGCCTTCTCCGTATAAGTAAATTTAAGAGGTTCTTAGCTTAAGTTGGTTATGCACTATGAGATAAACAAATATCGGTAAGGTTCTACGGAGCAGCACCACAATTCACCTAATGCACGTAAGAGATTCGATGCTATGATTTTATACCTTTATTTTCCTTCTGAATGTCAATCAGTCTTTCATTCTTTAAATAGTCTCTGAAATATCTTGGACCAAGGAAGCACACAATATGAGCCAAATTCATGGTGATTTTTTTTTTCACTAATGCACTGAAACTATAAATGGCAAGGTATTCTTATTATGACTTGTTCTAAATCCAGGAAGGCAGCAGCGGTGCAAACTGTCTGAATCTGTTGCTGATAATCTGAAAGCCTATGCTCCCCTGAGACACTGAAGGTACTTCTTGTTCTATCGGTAGATAAAGTAGAAATACTATGAAGCTGCTTCTGAGGTCCTTGCTATCCTTTTCTTTCTGACTTACCTTTTTGTATTTGTCATCAACTACACATATATACCTTGCCTTTTCTTCTCTTTTCTCATTTCTATGACTTTTCTTTTGTCTTCTCGTTTTTATGAGGCAAGCGTATGAATCTCATCATATCCTGGGCTGAAAACGCCAACAAAAAAGCCTGAGTGTTAGCACTCCTTTATTTTCATAGAAAAAGGGCCTGGGGAAGATAACACCACTTTTGTTTGAATTCGCAACAAGATCTGGGAAACCAGTAGCAGAACTGATAATAGTAATTTTAGGGAAAGTTCCCTAACGTTTGGGACTGCAAACCTCTAGGTGAATCAAATTATACCGTGGAGAACTGGATGTTCCCCACTAAGGAGCTTGACTCAATGCGAAGTGACATATTTTGGTCCCAGCTGTTTCTAAAATGAACAATATAAATGGAGTTTTCATGGGTGATATAGAAATGCTGTGACCAGCCACACAGTTAATTGCCATGGCTTTGCTTAAATGAAGGTCGCGTTATTAAACTTAGATGTTCTGAAGCTAGCAACCTCAATGCTGGTTTCTTCAAAAATGTTTCACCACAGACACCTGCAAGGCAGCTGCCTAGACTTTTCTGTATAGGTTAATTTGCAAAGCATAATTGCCTAACTTCAGTGTTCAGAACAGTCTCCTTTTGGACTCTTGATGCTCCAAAACTTACCTCTTAGAAACATTTTCTTCATCTGGTTAAGTCTGTTACTTTTGTTTGGTTGCGTTTCATTTATTTTAGCTCCAGTGTGGGCTCATTTGATTGTGCTTATCTTAATTTTATAAGCAGTGTTGGTATTACGCATACGTTTGCACATACGATAAATAATGCAGCAAGAAACCGAGAAATCACTGACTGCTGTTTTACTCTGTAGAAGAGAACCTGTAGGATCCTTTCGTGTCCACCAACCTCCTTTCGGTTTTGAAGATGAATCCCTTTGAGGTGTCCATTACTGTCTGTTGATTACTTAATTGCTGTGTCCTTTCCTGGAGTGTCACCTGAAAGATGCGGCTGAAATGCCTAGAGGACACATCCCTGCGTAGTAGGTGCCAGGGCGGCCCGCCCGGAGCGCGGGGTGGCGTTTTTCTCCTTCCAC